GAAAAATGAAGAAAACAAACAGCCAGGCTGAATCACAGGCTGCTGGAAAGCCACACCAGCAACAGACATGAAGTCATAAATGCTACTTATTCAAGCAAAGGATGCAATTTCTGCTGCATGGAAACGGGCCAAAGGATTTATTGTGGCTTTGGCATGATACAGTATGAGTTGCTGTGCAGCGCTAATAAAGCACGAGTGGAGACTGTGGTAATAAATCTCTGCGACGGAGGTGGTGAGTAAAATGTTATCATGGCAAAAATGCAAAGATGCTAAACAACACAAAGCTCCCATAATTACTGAGCATTTATTGGTGTTTATACCCAACATATTTCAAACAGACTAGTATCGTCCGGGAGTACGCAAAATGTCTCAGCGATAAAAGGCAGCAAAAGCTAAAGTTACTATAATTACTGACACCAGCAGTTCAGATGGAGGCAGCTTAGCAAAGCCGACTACAGTCTCTGAGGAGCATCTGCTGTTGATGCCCTTCTTGAGAGCATAAGTATGAAGCACATGCTAATCTTGGTTTCTGTTAGGAAGCTTCTTAGCGACGGCCCCGCTGTCTATAGGGTGCCGGAGACGTCAGGCTGTTCCTTATCATTATAATAAACATGCGTCCTGTAGCAAAGCCAGCATTGTGTGTTGTGGAGATAGGGCTGCTTATACAATGACCTTGTTTAAACCAGCGTCTCCGTCTCCTCAATGTTCTTCATACAAAGAGCTTGGTAATTACATACAGGCCTGTAAAATGAGCCAAGAAGGACCTTGATACCTTGAAGGAGAGGCAGGAGAGTGGGACAAAGACAGCGAGGACGGGGATGAAGAGGTGAAATATGGTGCATTTATTCATGCGTTCACCAGTGGACGCTGTCACAAAGCCAGTGTGGCTTCAAGAGAAGAGCACCAGGAAGCTTTTCTTCTAATTACACACACTATTCTTGTTGCTTGCACATGTGATGATAGTTTATATATTATTTATACATTAGAAGCTGAAATCCCCTCATTCCTTGTGCCTTTTGTCAATCTAAAGAATTTCTTATCCATAGATTCTCTTTGACGTCACATCTTCGTCCAGCTTCATACCCCACAGGGACAATTTCAGAAGCAGAGCAATTTGTCTGCCCGTTCTATCGACTTGCTGATTTAGGAGTTTTTTCCTTGATTTTGTGCTTCTACCACGGGGGAATAGGTGGTTTCTTTTTTTTTTTTTTTGTCTGTTGTAATCACGTTTGTCGTTGTCATTTCCTACTTTGTTGCAAAGTGCCTGCAACGTTAAGTCCAGATAGAAAAAGCACGAGATTTGTGGCTGTATTTCAAATGTTCCAAATACATTATTTCTCAGACTGATTTACTGTTGTATATTTCACGTAGGGCTTGTTAGCAGGAGGAGAACATTTGCATTTATGGCAATAATGTAGCGGTGACATGTTCAGAAGTCTGCATAGGGGGATTTAAAAATTAGCTGAATGCTCAAAGCTATATCTGTGTCTGATCTCCTGTCACGCCTGACACTCTACGAAAGAAGTGGACACTGCTTCTGAGTCTAAAGGGAGCCCAAGCTTTACGACTTAAACCTGCATTCTTTCTAATGGCCTCTAGGGGGCGACTCCTGTGGTTACAAACAGAAGTCAGATTGTAGAGAAGTCTACATGAAAATGACCAAACTTGTCACTTCATTTGCTCCCTCAGTGAACATTTTCCTGATGTGTTCATGATTCCAGTCCCTTGTTTGAAGTCTCCTTCAATCGAGCACGATGTTGATCTTGTAAATTAATGTCCCATTTAGAGTGAAATACACAATAAAGCCAGATATGCTTTATTATGACTTTGCGATTGACAGCTTGACACAGCCTTGAGTGCTCACCTCTGTTTCTAAACTGCTGTGAGTTATGAGATATGAGTCTAATCAGCTCCCTTAAATTAATCAGCATTTTCATCATAAGAAATTTAATAAATAGCTTTTTACTTCTATGTTTACAAGTCAGAGTTAAAGTCAAGCACTTTCATTTTTAACTTTCACTTTTAGTCAGAAATGTATCTGCTTCTTTGTGCAGCTTGATAAAGGGTTTTGTGGGGGGAAAAAAACATGATGACTGTTATGACCTTGGTAAAAAACAAAAACAAAACACTGACAGGTTGCGCAGTAAATTTATCTTGTGCAACAGGGAGAAAGGCAGAATTTGTTCAGCATCTCTCTCCAAGAGAAGTACAACAGCGCCGGCTTATTTATAGTCTGACATTCATAGTGTGACAGTAAAATTCTTTTTCCGTTGGTTCGTTTCAAATGTTCCAGTCACATTAACCTATAGACAACAACAGAAACTCTATGTCTGTATTCCATATGCTGACAAAGGAGCTTCTTCAAACTGAAACCACATTCCTTAAGGGCCTGAGGTCTCTATTTTCAATCTGTTTATGTAGCAAACACACATCTGCTAAGCTGGAAGCAATAGTCTGCTTTCACCTAAAAATACATCAAATAGCATCAAAAGAAATGTACTGTATAACTTTTAGATTTAATTAGGGCAGCTGGGTGAAAACCCTGCCTGAGACTCTCAACTTGAAGCAGAAATAGCTGTAGGTCAATGGGTGAGGTCCTCAATATCATATTTTACCTTTGTAGTAACTTTGTTTTGTCGTACATTTAATGCGAGAGCACATGGAATTAGAAATGTAACAATAATAACAGATATGGCTAAATTTTAGCTATTTGACCAGTTATAAATGCTGTATTTGCAGCAGGAAAACAGAAAATATAGCCTAACTTCAACGAAATATACAGTTGAAACCAGATGATTACATACACTGTATAAAAAGACATAAAAACCTTTTTTTCCCTCATTGTCTGACATTAAATCAGACTAAACTTTTCCTGTTTTGGGTCAGTTAGGATTATCAAAAGTATTTCTATTTGCTAAATGCAGCAATAATGAGAGAGATTTTTATCACTTTCTTCAATGTCAGAAGTTTACATATGCTAAGATGACTATGCCTTCAAACTATTTGATGATGATGTCATGGCTTTGGAAGCTTTTGATAGGTTAATTGACAACATTTGAGTTAATTGGAGGCACACCTGTGGATGTATTTTAAGGCACACCTCAAACACACTGCTTCCTTTTGTGTCAGCATGGGAAATCTAAAGTAATCAGCCAAGATATCAGGAAGAGAACTGAAGAGCTCCACAAGTCTGGTTCATCCTTGGGTACAATTTCCAGATGCCTGAAGGTTCATCTGTTCAAGCAATTATACACAAGTAAAGACACCATGTGAATGTCCAGCCATCATAGCGCTCAGCAAGGAGACGGATTCTGTGTCCCAGAGATGAAGAGCTTTGGTGAGAAATGTGCGTATCAACACCAGAACAAAAGCAAAAGACCTTGTGAAGATGAAGCTGGTCAGAGAGTCATTATCCACAGTGAAACCAGTCCTGTACCGACATGGACTGAAAGGCTACTCAGAGAGGAAGAAGACATTACTCCAAAAGCAACATAAAAAAGCCAGATTACAGTTTGTAAATGCACACAGGGACAAAGACTTTAATTTTCAGAGACATATCCTGTGGACTGATAAAACTAGAATTAAACTGTTTGACCATAATGACCATCTCTAAAAAATTCTCTCTCATTATTCTGGCATTTAGCAAATAGAAATAATATTGTTAATCCTAACTGACCTAAAACAGGAAAAGTTTAGTTTGATTTAATGTCAGACAGTAAGAAAAAAAGGTTTTATGTATTTTTGTACGGTGTATTTAAACATCTGGTTCCAATAGTACAAACTGCACATACATCTCTAAAAACTATAGCTCTGTGAGTAGGTGGTTTAATGTGAAGATATTCCTTCTTTTCTCCCAGACTGATGGAAACAGATTGGACTCACCTGTACCAGCAGGACCAGGATGACTTTAGCTGTAACAGCCGTTCCTTCTGGTTTTCTCTTCTCTTGATGTTCATGTTTCAATTTATGGGGAAACTGTTGATGCAAAAGTTCCAAATTGTTACAAGGTGCAAAAACCTAATCAAACCGTTGAGCTGCTGCGTTTCTTTCATCTCCCAGGGGGGCTGCATATGGCTAATTAGAAATGTTCAGTCAGTTGTGACGCGCCTACCTTTTCTGACCATGTGGCGACCTGAGGGGCTGAAGAATCACATCAAGTGCCAAAAAACTGCAGTTCACCAAGTGGTCATTTGAGACTGAAATGTGTGAAAACTCAGTCTCACACACACACACACACACACACACACACACACACACACACCCTCTGTTGAAGTACTAACCTACTTTTCAGCATAAATTAACCTGTTTACAACCTTTTCCATGCTATTCTATTAAAACAACAGAAACATTGCTGGAGATGTCTTGTTTCAGCGCACAGTACAAACAGTACTTGGCTTGCATGCAGCTAGTTGTGTGTGTGTGTGTGTGTGTGTGTGTGTGTGTGTGTGTGTGTGTGTGTGTAATGTCTAACATTGCTAAAAGCAGCCATCCACATCCTAAATGGGCTTGTAACCAATTTTCTGGTCAATGGACAACGAGCATTTTGTGCACCCTCGCTATTCTTCTTTCTCTCTCTCCGCTGACCCAGCACGGCAAACCTAGAACCGAGGAACTGACTTCCCCAAACCGGCTGGTTGGTTTGCATAACAGCTCCGACGACTGAGTGAAGCAGTGAAGTCTAAATGAGCACTCGACCGGCAAAACAGATGCTTCGAATATGAAATTCACAGTATCTATCCATTACCCATTTACGCATACGGCTCATATTCAGAATAAAAGGCGAGAAGTGATGCTTTCATCTTGCCGTATAAACACACGTACGCTTTAGCGCACACCTAGTCTGTATTTAAACACCTACTGAGTGTGTGCATACACATGCATGGAAACATAAATGTGTTTTGACAAGTGTTCACACACACAAAGCTGCAACAGAACGGTGAAATAGCCCTCGGCCTTCGTCTGTAAATGCAAGGTTAACAATGACAACACTGACACCCAGGTGTTGGTAGTGTAGGTACTGTACACATCATACTTTATTGTTCACCCCCCTCTTCGCTGTGACACTGATAGATAAGGCCCGACTGCTGACTAAGGCAAGGACAGAAAAGTACACAAGAACAGGCAAGAGAACAGTTTAGGCCGATCTCACCTCCGTCGCGTGTCATGTCTCGGGTCACCTGGAGGATAATGTGAGAAGAGGATTTGAAAGGATGTTGTGGTCACATCATGACAACGTCTACACACCAAGCTGCATGTCCACCAGGAACCTCTCTGAGAAGCACTTGCCTGTTTTTTTTTTTTTTCTTTTTTCCCTCCTTGTCAATGAACAGCTTGTATTGTGCATTCTGAACAGAACCTGAGATGATTTTAAAAAACACTTCTAATCAAAGAAGTCCCTGGTGGACAGCAATGGTCACCAAGTTTCAGGTTTAAACTTTTACTGTGGACTTTTTACTGCAATCAGAAGTTCAGGTTTAGGGTTAACTCATGTGATTTGTGCATTTCCTTCTGTAAAATAACTGCAAAGCTGATTTTGATTGAATATTTGCTGCATTGTTTGCTATGAAGCAACAGAACCACATGTAGCCACGTGATCAAAGTGGGGACCCATGAGTATGAAGATTGCTCCATGGCGCTGCTAGTGGTCAAAAACTCAACAGGATGTCAGTGAGCTGCTGTCAAGGTTTCTTAAAGGGGAACTCCACCAATTTAACACACCGGAGTCTGGTCTTGGAGAGAACAACTATGGACATGAAAGAAGTTGTACGAAGCTCTAGAGTGCAAAATCTGATAAAAGGACTCAAGTCTTGTCATTTGAACTGAAAATATGGGGTTAGAAAGAAGCGAGAAGCCCCTACTCAAGTCTGCTTAAGGTTACATTAGCCACTACTAGCATAATGCACCAGCTGTTAGCGGCTGGGTTGTATTGTGGGTAATGTAGGCACCAGGCAGCACCAAGACTGACAATAGTGTTCATATAACTGTCAAGCAAATTGAAAGCGCAATTTTGAAGTTTCACAAAACATGTTAAAAAAAATAAACATTTTTAAAGACTTTTTTTTTTGTATTACCTGCTAAGGAGCAAATAAACTAGGTTACATAGTGCCGTCAGAAGGTGGCAGTGAAGGCTACATGGCTGTTCTAAACAGTGTAAAGAAAAGCTGTTGTATGACAACTGTAAAAAAAAAAAAAAAAAACAAACAGAGGAAGCAGAAGACACAAACAAAACGTCTTTGTCATCTATGAGGAAAAATCTGACCGACATTCTACTAAAAAAATTTCAATCACGAAATTTGTGATGAGTCTCTCATGTCAGCTGGTAAGAAGCAAAAAAACAGGTGATCAGCAATGTGAGATAAATGTTTTCTACGTTAGAACTTATTCAAAAAAGCTGGTTCTGTCTTCCACTAACTCTCTCAAAACCACTTCAGATGAGCCTGTTTTGCGAAACTGTGAAACTTTTCAAATTTTGCTGCTTCCATTAACTTTTTGTAATGCGATACTTCAAAATGTGCATAAAAATATAGAGGAACTGCTAATATTATAGTCGTAAAAATCAGTGGAGTGCTCTTCTAAAGACAGCTTTCAGTGAGCGATCCTGTTCAGTTACTGTACATTAACATACATACATACAGTCTGGATATTTGTGCTGAGAAGTTCGATCCACCAGTGGTCCCAGAGACAACCGGTCCCACAACTTTAACTGTGAAAGAGTTCTCTATTAAAAGGCTACTTGTTTAATGTTCTAATGTGGAGATTATACAGCAGTATGATACTGTGGGCTCATTTTTCTAATGCATATAAGGCAGCGCTACACCTAAAGTACCACCAACTCCACTGTTTCACTGCATCACGGCAGAGAGCAGGATTTTATAAAACGAAGGATGGAAATTCATGTTTGAGTTACAGGTTGTAGATAGGAGGCCACAGCAGTGCATCTCTCTGAAATTTAACAAGTACGTTCTTAAAAAAGTGTTGATACTGTATCCGTTTCTTGATGTTTTATTTGCCGGCTCACTGCATCTAACTCACAGATAGAATCTTTCCGTAAAAGCTCTCAGGGAAGTCTGATAAAAAAAAAAAACCTCCATTTCGCCGCATCCTTGTGAGAGTTCCCTGACAGCATTGTGCAGTGTTTACCAGTGGCTGGATACTTGCGAGGGTCATTTCTGCGTAAGAACAACAACTTAATTAAAACCCACAAGCCTTGTTTGTTCACCTCCCATCAACGACGGCGAACAGTGTTTACCACTTTGCAGGCCGACCCTTTGATTCAAGCTTTCCGAAGCCCTTCTAACACAATCACTCCTCGTTTGAACATCGTCTCCGACTACTCTTGGGTAATCCATACATATGCATGAGCTTCTGTTTTACACACACTTGACGCTCAGCAGTCCTTCCTTTGCACTCTAACAAGCAGCTTTTCTTCAAGTGTTTAGTCATTTTTAAAACATTCATTTGCAACATTGCGCTGCATTAAATCCTGCTAAGACACATTAGCTGAACAATCATTGAACAGTGGATGTTGCAGTGCAGCCAGTCGACCTCTGATGAAGACCCATATTCATGCGATGTAAACTGTCCCAAACACAGCTTAATCATCTGTTTTAATTGTAATACTGAATTTCCCTTCCTTTGTTCTCAAAAATATTTGACACAGATTTATCATGTACATCGAAGCAGAGGTCTTCACCTGAACTCAGACAGTTAAACATGTGTAAAGATATTTTTTGAGAGGATGGAAGAATTGATGCTTATTTATGACCTTTCTCAATTAGGGATGTGAAAACACTATTAGGGGAGAGAGAAAAACCAGAGCCTTATGTTGTTGTTTTTTCTTTTTTCTCAAAGGAGACTAGTCTGTATTTTTAAGGGCCTTTTAATTTTTGCTCCCCGAAGTTATTATTTCATTGTCGCTTTTAATCTTAATTCAAAAACAAAGATCAAATGGTTGGAAATGATGGATTTAGTGTGACAGCAATGCTGCCAATGTTTTAGGACTTCCTTTTTTCCAAAACAGTCAGCCCATACCGTTGTACATGTAGATTTCTATTGATATTAGTGATTAAATATTGGATTCTCTCCAACAGTAGGTTTACTTTCACTTTAATCCGCACTACAACAGAACCTTATGAAGACTCACCAGCCACTGTATAAAGTACACTTGTGAAGTCAAATGTAATCCAACCAACTGCAGGGTTTGAAAGATGAATCCAACCTGGACGTGCAAAGAACTGCAGTTCCTCTAATGACCACTTGAGGCTGGCTCCAGAACTGAGTCAGTTCCTATAGACCTCCATGTTAAAATGCCAAATTTTACAGCAGAAATACATGTTTCCAGCCTGGTACAAAACATGCTGTTTGGTCTCTATGGCTAATTCACTTGTTTAGAACAACTATAGATGGGGTCCATATTTATGTAACTCATGCTTCATTAAAGGCTCAAAGTAATATATGATTAAGGGTGTGGAAGGTGGGTGCTGTCAGGGGACAGTCCATGACCCTGATCCATTCAATGTGGCGCACCTCAGCGCTACTCTTTGCTCTTTGTTGGAGCCAATATGGTAACAGAGTCACTGCACTAAATTTTTAAAACTTTGGGTGACATCACGGAGGGTTTCTCAGTCTTTACAGTCTATCAATACAACATGACAGCTGTGATATAAAATTTACTTTCACTAAGCGGCTACATTTTCTGCTGATGTTGTCAAAAAGGTGATGATTCTACTCTGTTACTGAGGTCATAGTGTGTGGTGTTGGACTGGACAGCATTGCATTAAAAAATGTCCCTAATGTGGACAGCTGAGAATATAGAAGTTTTAAAAAAGGAGTGGTCGAAGCAGAATTTGTGTAAGAGATGTTGTATTGGATTGCATTAGAACTTACAGGTGTACCTAATGGAGTGGCTGGTGAGTGTATATCATGACTCAGGTTTAGCCTTGAACGTGAATATAAAGTGGTTGGAATGTGTCTGATTTTGTTTTGTTTGCCATAAATTAAATCATTTTCTAATTCCACTTCAAATGCACACATCTGTTTCTACTGTGAAAACTATTATTTCTCTGGTTAATAATGGAGAAATTAGTTGTACCAGCTGTACTATATTTTCCGATAATTGGGTTGTGTTGCAATTTGTTCCTTTCAAGAAAATATTAATAACACATTTTAGCATTAACCCTAAGATGTTTGGTTGTATTAATGCTGTGTAATTCCATTTTTTAAAATATGACTATTATGTGGAATTAAAAACATATTTGTTGATAATTACTGCATCCCTGATGGCATTAAGATATGTTACACATCTGCAGATTACTTACAAAAGCCAAAATTGTGATATAACACAAGTAGGAAAAAAAAAAGGAATGCCCGTTGCCTGGTGGTCCACACCACTGATTGTGAATCACTGTTGTGTAAAATGTAATGGCACCATAATGCTGACACGTTAGCTGAAAAACAATACTCATTCCCCAAGAGAAGACTTTAATTTACCCCCTCCTCACCTCTCTGCATACCCCTCTCACCCTAACCAGAGCAGGAAAGCAGCTACAAAACACTGTAGGCACTGTGACCATGGTACACTACAAAACTGAACCGAGTAAGATAAAATAAAAAAACGTGTCCCCATTATCTCAGTGTGTTTGAGATAAGAGAGAGCCGTCCAGGCTACTCCATGTGCAGTCTACAGAGAGTCTTTTGGTCTCCCAGTGAGGTAAGAGGTGCTGTATGATTGGGTCCATCGATAGGCAGCCTCAGGCAAGTCATTTATCCCTTAGTCAGCCAGGCGACACACAGACACATTTACATATTCTCCTAGAGAGAGGCCTGCGATGTGAACGCATCCATCTCGATTCCTCCACTGAGGCTTTTTATCTGCTTTTAAGGTCCATTAGACGCCCTAAGTGTCCTCACACTCTGGAAGAACGTGTGTCACAGAACAGAGACGCCGGGACATCGTGATCCGCAGCCTCTACAGAGATATTCAAAGGCGGTGGGGGTTAAAGGTCACCACTCTGCGGCTCGGGTCTGGCTTCCTGGTTGCGGTTGCGTCCCAGTCTGGGGAAGCGGGATGAAGTTTTGGAGCGCGGCGTCTTGGCTCCGCCATCGTTGGCCTGGGGTGTGTCTCTAGATGAGAGGGAACAGCAGGAAGGAGAATAAAAAAAAGCCATGGACTTTAAACGAACATCTGGTGAAGTTTATTACCAAGTTTATTATTCAAACACACTACTGATGCTGCATCTGGTGGCCTAAATGCATCATTTCCCTTCTGCCACAGGACTTTGCACACATTAGTCAAAGCGGCAAATGGAGACGATTTCATGAACCAAATAAGTTGAATCCCACTTATTCGACATTAATTGCTAATTGGAAATAGCAAAATGGAAATTTGTCTAATTGACTGTTTGCTTCCCTTTAGTTACCATTTATACATCTGTCAAGCTTTTTGGCTTTAGCACAATTCAGATGCAGTTTGCTGCAATAACAGACTCACATGAGTAACTCAGAATTGTTAGCAGTTTTATAAACAAAAGGTTCTGGGTTTCAGACAGAGTTGGACGAAAGCAGACCTTTTATTTTTGCAAAAAGAAGCCTTTCGACTAAATCACTTTCTGACTTTTTAATGTTACCAACTTGGACAAGGAGTTTGGCCTGTTGCACTTGATGGCTACACGATGCTAAAAGACTGAATGCTAAAATGATCCAGAATGATCCGTGTGGGAATAAAGACACAGTATTTGTATTGTATTGTAAACCCAGTGAGCCCTGCTGTTGTTGGTGTGATGAGGAAAACACAAGATCAGACTGTGTTGCTTTCATAAAATTAAAATTTTTCTACTTCACGTTTCATATATTTGTTCATATTTCTAAAGAGTATACACCATTCAGTCACAGGTGAAGTGAGGAGCAGTGGTCATCTCATTAAAATGCAATGTTCTGCTGGGAAACCTTGGGTCCTGACATTCATGCGGATGTTATTTTGACACGTACCACCCACCAAATCATTGCTGCAGACCAAGAACACCTCCCAAAGCAACAGCAACAACAACACCAGCTGCCTCCATGAGCAGAATAATGAACCCCACCACGCCACAAAAGCTACTCGGGAACAGGTCAAGGAACCCGACAAAGAGTGCAAGGTGCTGCCCTGGCCTCCAAACTCCCCAGATCCCAATACAATCTAGCATTCATGGGATGCGCAAGAACAAATTCGATCCACAGAGGCTCCAACCTGCAACCCAAAGGACCCGAAGGATCTGCTGCCAACATCCACATGCCAAACACCCCGGGACACCTCCAGAGGTCCTGTGTCCGTGACCCTCGATATGAGGCAGGTGGTTTGTATGTTGTGGCTGATGGGTGTGTAGTCATGTAATGAAGAGCAAGACAGAGTCACTGATGGCATCCAGGACTGACTTCTACACAAATGTGAAATAATGGGCTGTGGACTGTTGTGAACAGAGCTTTTTTACCATATTATGTAACCACACAAAGGCTGGCAGCTGACCTTGGGATGGCCTGATGCCTGGTTACTACTGCGGCTAGCTAGCCTGGTAAACATCCTCACGGTTGCAGCTTGTTAGAGCAAATACACACCCTGTTTAATTCTTTCTTTAGCTTCATCTCTTGTGTTTTTTGGAAATATAAAACAAGATAGAATCCTATAAATTAAATCCAGAGCAAACTTAGAACAGTTTGAGTTCTGTTAAATGATGGTAAATATGACTGTTTATTTGATGTTTGCTTTGTTCTTGTGTGTTGTACCAGCTGGACTAGGGTATCTATCTATCTATCTATCTATCTATCTCTCTATCTATCTATCTATCTATCTATCTATCTATCTATCCATCTATCTATCCATCCATCTATCCATCCATCCATCGTGGAACTACTAGATTTTCTTTTCTTTATTTTAATACAGTCACACGGGATTCATTTTCCACATCTATAATAATGTCATTATTCCTGTCCTCACCACTGGAAAACATAATTTGTGACAGAAGGACTTAAATTATAGTCAGTTGTGATCTCATGATGGTATTTAGGTTTCCATTTGCTCGAGAGGAAATCATTTTGGCCACTTGATGACATCATTGCCCCAGTTACCGTGACAACCGTCTTCACAACATGTGAGCCCCCCTGATCCCTGAGTCTTATCTGATAATGACAAGGATGAATAAGAGGAACTTGACAAAGGGAGGAAATGAAAGACAGGCCGAGTGAATGACGGGAGTTAAATGCTTTGGTGCTGTCTTGTGTTCTCCTGCCCTCTTTCTGAGGATTTCATCCAGAAGACGCTGACCTCTCACCTGCTGCTAGCGATGGAGCAGTGACTTCCTAATAGGCACGTGTGAGTTCAAGTGTGTCTTTGACAAAGGGATTTTCAATGAATATTAAAACCAGTGAAGTGGCAGGAGGCATGTCCCACTTGATGTCCAAGTGGCCTCTTTAATGATGCACTCCAGCTGCTAGAGCTATGATTAAGATTAGCCGGGACATCTGGGCCGTCCCGTGTTAGGGAGTTTGATTCCCACTCGGACAATGCCTGCTAAAAATAAATGCACTCGTGGTGTGGCGCTTCGGCGAAAGGTGTCAGAAAAGATGCGAGGCAGCGGTGGCTAAGAAAGCAGGACAGTAAGAGATCAGAGGATGTTAAAATAGGCAGAAACATGGAGGAGACAGTTACAGCACAGGACTGTAAGCACGAGGCTAAGATCCACACTTAAGTATGAAAAATGTATGTCTCTTAAGTGTCTGTGTCACAACCAACGAGATCAAACAGCTTTGAGGGGAGGGAGGGGACGGTGTGACCAGCCAATCTGAGAATAACCTCAACTTTGTTAATGTGGTGAACATTATTCCTTTTCCTCTGGCGCAAAATATTCATTTAGCAGTGGCTCAAGTGCCACTTATTCCCATATCTCCACTGCACCAGGCAGGTTCAATCAAATGCAGCCACTCTATTTGAATTTGACCAAGGTTGGCCAAACAGTGTTGCGATGGGGAGCTATATCAGCAAAAAAATCGGACTAAATTGAGGACAGCATGCAAAGGGGAAACCGCAAGTCATCTCATTTATTCATATCAAACTGGATAAAGTAGCTAAGTGTGGCAAATTAATTAGGCTTACAGATTTTTTCAGGCTCTCAGCATGTGTTTGTCCTCCATTTGGACATGACATTGATTTGTGCAGGATAATAACTTTCCCAGGCACTGTTGGAATATTAGTAATTTGATTGCAGAGGAAGCTAATTTGAGTAAACAGGTACACAATGCAAACATGCATGAAAATAATTGTCTAACAGCAAAAGGCAGGTTGGAGTAAATACAACAGTCTGAACAATGAACGATTCTCTCTGACACTCACACAAACAGTTTGCCTCACAAGTAAAACCAACAGTTGGCACAGGTAGACACAGATAAATAGTTTTAGGCCACTACAATAAAAGGTTATATTCTTATTCGAAAGTCAAACTGCCTCAAACTGCTCTTGACAATGAGACAAAGGTCGACAACACTTTTGGTTTTTTTATTATTTCTGAGGCAGCAGGTCAATAAGGCGAGAGCCCACACTGAGTGTGTGTACTTTGTGTTCTGAGTAAACCATAAAAGTGGCGAGGTCGAGCTGCATACTAAGTGGTGACAAATCTAGGGAGAGGTGTGACCATGTCACTGTTCCAGACAAGTGAAGAAAATTGCAGCATGCAAGTCCAAAGAATTGAGTGAGGAGAGACACGTTGAGATCTGTACACAAGCGTGTTGGCCATCGAGCACAAACAAACATGTACACAGCTGTCTGGCTGGTTTCTCAGATATAAACCACAGTTGTAAAGAGTCCATCCTGTCAAGTTATGTAGTTTCTTAACAGATCCATAAGGTGTTTTCTATATGTTGGAAGATACATCCGGATCGACAAACACAACAACCCAGTGCGCTTCAAGCCCACCAACACCCCAAGACAGAAACTGGTTGCCCCTAAGGACAAGACACCGAGATATAAACAAAGCAATGTGGTGTATGCAGTCCAGTGCAGCCAAGAGGCATCTGGGAGACAAAACAACAGCTACACAAACGCATGGCTCAGCACAGAAGAGCAGCTCCTCAGGACAGGACTCAGCAGTCCACCTGCATCTTAAGGACAAAGGACACTCATTTGGAGACAACAACGTACAGATTTTGGCCAGGGAGGACAGATGGTTTGAGAGAGGAGTGAAAGAAGCCGTCTATGTCAAACTGGAAAGACAATCTCTCAACAGAGGTGGAGGTCTGAGGCATCACCTCTCACCTGTTTCCTAAGATCTCTCCCCAGGAAGATGAAACCACATTCACACCAAGCCACAGAAGACCCTAATAAACCCCATTGTGGCAGGGGGAGCACTAACGACCCACATAACGAGGGGGAGGAGCAACAAACCCCCAGCTGAAACCGAAACTCAGGTGTTAATGGCTCCTTTAGGATACAAGTATCTGGAACTCCCAACTAGTCAGTCAGAACTGATGAAGCCTCTTGGATGAGAGGTGGAACGTCTTCAAGGAACTCAAGCAAGTCCAGTTGTTGATTAATCCACGAGAATAACCCTGGCCTGGATGACTGAGAATCTTCACAGACATCCAGATCAAAATAAGCAGTCGATGCCATGGCTGAGGATTTCCACCTTAAAACAGCAGAGTAGCGATGACAGTCTCAAAAGCACAGATTCAGACGTAAAGGCTTTCTTACATAACAAATCTAATGAATCAATCCAGTCAACTTGCAGAGTTGAGCTTTCTGTATCATCTTTAGGATCAGTTTGTGGCTCCAAAATGCCTCCCTGAGTTACACCAATATTACAAATTGCCACTGTGTAGCGTAGAATAGTTTTACAGTGTTGTGGGTTGTGGGTGAGCTGGTGTGCTCGAGCTGCTGTGAGTGGAGAGGAGTGAATTCAAAGAGAGGAAGGGACTATGTAGATCCATGCATTCTAGAGGAAACAACAATGTGGAGCTACATCTAAAGCAAATAACAAAATCCAAATAGCTACTAAGCTGTAATGTCAGGGAGTCTATCTCTATGACAACTGAGCACCACGACTGTAGCTGTGTTCAGTCTATTTGCTTCACAGAAGACTCACCGGGGGATAAAGGCA